GAAAAAAAAAAAAAAAGAAGGATCATAATTTAGAAAAAAGCAGAGCTGGGACTCAACGAAAACCTGTTCTTGTTTCTAAAATCCAAGCTCAGAGACACTAAACTATGATACTTCTCTACATAAAGTATTATGATTATCTGTTCTTCTGTAACAAAGTAGAGAATGTTCTTATTAATCTATAGATAATGTCGGTGGCTCGAGGAAAAGAACTATTTCAAAAAAGAATTGCTTTAATAAAAATGTAACGTGTTAGAGTGTCCAGCTGATGAGTGCCATGTCCCTCTAATACATTCAGTCCTGTCTTCGCTGTTCCATGAAAATGCATGTTAAGCTCACTGGCAACTTCCACAGTCCTAAAGCCAGTAGTCACTGGCCAGTTTTCATTTCCCAGTACCTCCCAGCAGCATATTCACAAGCAATCATCCCTTCCTCGGAGCACTTCACTTATGTCCAGGCACCACACCATCCTGGCTTTCCTCCTGCCTGTCTGGCCATGCCTTCAAGTCTCTTTGCCAGCTTCATTTCTAATTGCTGACCCTTAAGGGGAAAGTTTTGTTTTCCTCTATTTTTCCACTCATCTTCCCAGGTAAGCTCATCTGGCCATGTGGCTTTAATAACCTTCTATACTCCGACCAATCTATAGCCACTCACCACTCACCTAGCCTCTTTTATCCACTTCCTTAACTGTCTTCTCTTAGCTATTTAAAAGGCATTGCAAAACAAACAACTCTAAAACAGAACTGAGACGTTCCACCTAAACGACTTCCCTTTACAGTTCCTCAATCTTTAAAAACTATTTATTTATTTATTTATTTATTTATTTATTTATTTATTTATTTCTGTGTGTGAGTGTTCTGCCTGCATGTATGTAAGTGTACCCATGTGATGTAGAGCTGGTGGAGGCCAGAAGAGGATGTTGGAGTACCCTAGAACTGGAGTTATGAAAGGTTGTTAGCTGCCATGTGGGTGCTGGGAACCAAACCCAGGTCCTCTGGAAGAACAGCCAGTGCTCTTAACTGCTGAGCCATCTCTCCAGCCCCTATATTTTCAATCTTGGTGTTTCCATGTTCTTAATGGCCCAACTATTCACCTGATTCATCTCTTTCTCTGACACTCCATATTCAATCCAAGAGCAAGCTCTCCCATTAAAAATAGTCCTTCCCTCTCATTATGCTTACTGCTTCCACCCTGTCCGTGTTGCCGTTGTTCTTGCCAATGTAGCAGCCTTCCAGCTAGTCTGCTTTCACACTTGCTTTCTAGACCATAGGCCTTAAGACTCACCTGAAGGAGCTTAAAAAAAAATCTTAGATTAAATCCACAAGCTTGAAAATGTCCTGAGGGGTCCCTCTATACCTAGAGTAAAATCTCCATTCCCTCCCATGGCTTAAAGGTTCCCCATCACTTGCCCGTGGCCTCTCTAACCTCATCTTCTAGTAGCCTCCTCATTTGCTTCTTTCCAGGCATGCACTGACTTTCCTGGACTCCTTGCTCTTGGTTTTTGTGTTTACTGTTCCACCTCTGTAGAACATAATTCTCCCAGCTCTTTCTATAGCTTTCATTTCCTTCCTGGTCTCCATTAAATATCACCCACTATCAGAGAAACCTTCCCTGGCCACTCTATCTAAACCATCCAGCTCCCTCAGCTATTCTCTCGCTGCAATCTGCTTAAGTTTTCTTCAGAGTACCTACAACTATCTGAAATTATACCCTTACTTTAAAGGTATGGTTTTCATGGGGGAAGAAATTCTGTCTTCAGCTAAATCCCCAGTGCCTGGAACGCAGAGGTGCTCAATTAATGCTGGTTGAATGACAGTTGTTTAAAATTTAGAATCTATTCCCTACAGAACAATGATAAAATATTTTTCATGTGGACCCTTGAGAAGACAGTTAAATATATTATTAATTAGATATTTGGATTAATAGCATTAGCTGGAGTCTGACTCCAAGAAAAGTGGGACCAAGCCATAAAAAAGAGGTAAAAATGAAACTCTTTCACCTTCCTGCATATCCTGGATAAACTTTTTACAAACAGGAGCTGTGCCTCTTACTTAGCATCCCCCCTCTCTCTCTCTCTCTCTCTCTCTCTCTCTCTCTCTCTCTCTCTCTCTCTCTCTCTCTCTCTCTCTTCCTTTGGTCTTTTTTTGGAATGGTCTCCCTGTAGGCCCAGCTGACCTGGAACTCACTATGTAGACCAGACTGGCCTTGAACTCAGAGATCCGCCTGCCTCTGTCTCTCAAGTGCCGGGACTACAGGTGTGCACCACCACTCCCAGCCTAGCATCTTATCTCTTAGTGTCTCTACCAGTATTCTTCTGCTGTCCTAAGCTTCCATTAATCACCCCCAAACTGCCTTAGATGTTCATAGTATCAAGCCTCTCCCCTTAACTTCCTCCCCAGCAAATTTTCCCTCTCTTCAATAGATTATCTCAAATAAGGTGTTTGGAAAGAGACAACTTTGGTTCAACTGTAATAAGTTAGGAGAGAACAAATATTTCACTATTCCCAGGCATCTAGGCACATCGAAAAGAGAATGTGAATTAATCAATCTCTGGTAAAATTTGAGGCATCAGGACAGGAACATGGAAAAAGTACAGACCAGATGGAAGATACTTTTTGGCCTGGGAAAATAAACTACCCAAATAATCCTTTGCATACAGCGGGCATTAACAAATATTTGTTAAAGGAGTTTTAAGTAAAAGCAGTCACATCAAGGCAACTTCTCGGTCTTCCCTTGGGTTAACGCCCCTAAAAGGGTCATTTTCTAAAAGTTGTTTTTCATAATGACTTATTCAGCAGGCACAGCACACGCACATCCCCTCCTCCACAATGTGCTTAATAGGCAAGAAAAGAAATACCACTTTTTTAATAGGTTGTATTTTAAATAAGTTTTGGGGATTTTTTTTTTTTTTTCTTTTAGAGAACAAATTTGTCACCTTTTAATCCCAGCACTCAGGAGGCAGAGGTGGGCAGATTTCCACTGAGTTCCAGGCCAGCTAGAGGCTACATAACAAGACCCTATCTCAAATAAAACAAAAGAACCCCTCCCCTAAAACCCCAAGTAGATTCTTCACTAACAGTAGGGAAGTAAAACAAAAATGTATTCTGGGGAAAAATATTACTTAAAACCTATAGATTTACAGGGCTGGAGAGATGGTTTGGAGATTAAGAGCACTGGCTGCTGTTGCAGAGGATTCAGGTTCGATTCACAGCACCCACATGGTGGCTAACAACTGTCTGTAACTCCAGTTCCAGGGGATCGACACCCTCTTCTGACCTCTGTGGGCATTGCATGACACGGGTGCACCTATATACCTACAGGTAATATACTCATACACATAAAATAAAAGTAATAAATAATAAAATATTTTAAAAACCCTATAGATTTAAATGTCTCATTAAAATTTATAATTACTCAGGTCTTTGCAAGAGTAGCCAGTTTTCTAAGCTACTGAGTCATCTCTCCCATCCATTTAATGATTTTTTTTTTTTAGAATGCGATT